TGTTTAATGAGACCATGGAAAATTGTATTTCCCCCAAATGGTCAGAACAATATTTTCAGTTCCATGTGTCCTTTTCAAAACTTGCCCCTCCTCAGCAAGGAGCAGGGTCTGTTTCCCCTCTTTTGGAACCTGGGTTGCACTTTGAGGCGGACTCGGCCTCAGCAAATAGAATGAGGCAGCATCTTACCACATGATATCCGAGACTGGGTCATAAAAGGTGGTGATAGATACAGGGTCTCTCTCTCTCCTCTCTCCTCTCTCCTCTCTCATCATTAATGTTTTTCTCTCTCTCTCTTTCTCTCCCCCTCTCCTTCCTTCTCTGAAATCAATAAAAATATTTTTTTAAAATATGCTATATATACTCATCTGTATGAAAATATCTTTACTTTTTATAACTGTGGTTTATTCCAATGAAATGAATGTGACATAGTTTATTTAACCTGTCTTCTAATGGTGTATATCTGAGGTGTGTCCAGTTGGTTATTCGTTGGAGAATTAGTTAGAATAGTGTTGTGCATTAAGTCATTTTCTTTTTATGCTTGCCACTGTACCTTTGAAATGGTTTCCTAGAAGTGGGATAGATGAGCCAGAAAAGTGAATGAATATATAATTTTTCTGTATATTTCTAAATTCCCCTCTATAATGGAGGTACAGTTAATTGCCATCCACAACCAATGTCTGAATGCTTGTTTATTGAGAGCCTTATTAACAAAATGTTGTCATACTTGGAATTTTTAGCCCGTCTCATAAGAGAGAGATGGTATTTCATTGTAATTTTAATTTGTATTATTTTTTTCCAAGAACCCTTTAATTTTTTTTGCCCTAATTTTTATGGATTTATTGGACTTTTTAGAAGAGAAATAGATATAGACCTATATCTATAATGGGGATATTAATATTTTGAGGTTTAAGTTAAAATTTAGAACTTAATTTTTATTTTTTTAAGTTTTTTTTTTTTAACTGTTTTAGAAAGAGAAGAAGAGAGAGAGAAACATTAATGTGTTACTGCATGCTTCCTACCAGGGAATGAGCCTGCAACTGTGGCATGTGCCCTGACGGAGAATTGAACCAGCAACCTTTCTGTGCATGTGGGATGATGTCCAACCGAGCCCACACTGGCCAGGGCAAAAATACAATTTCTAAAGAGGAGTTTTCACTTTAATACATAATCATGTTGGTGAAAGAATTGGTATTATATAGTAGAACTTTATGAAATACTAGAGGCTTGGTGCACAAATTTGTGCACTTTGAAAGGAAATTAATTAGAAGAAATATTTTAGAGGCTCGGGAGGGAGTGCAGGAAGTTGGCTCCAGGGCATGTCTGGCCTGTCTTGCCCAGTCCCCATTGGGGCTGGCCGGCAGGGGAGGGACTGCAGGAGGGCTCCAGGGTGTGTCCGGCCCCTCTCACCCAGTCCCAATAAGCCGGACCCCAGCAGCAAGCTAACCTATCGGTCAGAGCATCTGCCCCCCTGGTTGTCAGTGTGTATCATAGCAAGTGGTCTAGTGGTTGACCAGTCAATCAGACACTTAGCATATTAGGCTTCTATATATATATAGGCCAGTAGCCCGGTGCATGAAATTTGTGCACATTGAAAGGGAATTAATTAGAGGAACGTAATTTGGACTCACTATCTTAATATCAATAATATGTGACCGTGAGGCAGTCCGCGTTTCTGAAATTCAATGACATGAATTTTAGCTATTACTTTGCCAAATAAATGGACTTTATAGATATCATTTAAAAGAGCATTCAGCTTAATATTAAAAACTCTGGCTACCAAGTCAGGTCTGTTTTCAACTTTTTGCCAGTGTTGTAAATTGTTTGCAATATCTGCCCATTTGTGGTTGCATGTCATGGTTATGAATAAATTGGGCTTGCCATACTTCGTTACAATTGCCATAGCATCCTGATATCGCTGCTGCATATTTTTGGGACCACCCTCAGAAGATGATGGAAGTATTATCATTTTACCATTGATAAAACGGCACATTGTCATTTTCAGATCTAGATTTGAGATAATCCATCAAACCACTATATTTTTCAACTCTCAACTTAGATTGGTTTGCTTTGATGAAATTTATCCCATTGGTCTCTATTTTTTAATATGAAATCACAATAAACTGTTGAGTTAATTTTCCTGCATTTAAAATAGGATTGAACGTGTCCCGCACAGAAAGATGAAATCCATAATACTGCATTGGTGTGACTCGTGTCCTTACATTTTGTCTAGTATTTTTGTCCATTACACTGTTGTCTCTGAGTCTTAATGCAATACCTGTTCCCCAGCCTTTTTCACCATGTGGAAAAGAATAGGATATGTCATTGCATCTAATGTAGGAAACAGGATATTGATTCGTTTCATTTTAGTGGTATTTGGATTATTGGGATCTGGTTTACAATGCATGAACAAGTCCCTTTCAAAAGGAGGTTCTCCATCTTCGTTTCTGAATATGACAGCAAGCTCGGTTACACGGGGAGAATTATATCTACCTGGGTCACTGTTATGCTCGGATTAATCGCCATTGTTACCTCTGTGGGAGCAATACCTTTTGCTGCTGCTTCAGATTGGGCTTCCTTTTCTACCTCATGTAGCATCTTGTACGATTTTGTTAATTCATTTATTTCATGCATGAGGTTGTTGATGTTGATCATGAGTCTTTCTGAGCAGCCCTGGTTTTCTTTTTAAATATGCCAGGTAATTTGGAAAACGTATATCATTTGGACAGACTTTCCCTTTGCTACAACATTGAGTAAATTTCCCATTGGATGGTTTTTCATGAGAGAAATTTAGTGATAGGCAGAATTCACATTGAACAGTCATTCCACCACAACTATGTTCGAGAATTGCATCCTCATGTACTCTGTTTTTGCTGAGAAGACGCCACATTCTGTTGCAGGCGCCACCTTCTTTCAAGATCAGACGCATGCTGCTCTCCAGACACTTTCTGTTGATAATGCCAGCATCTTTCGGCTACAGAGCTACATTATATCAACAGTTGTTCTTTAGACATAATCCCACCTCGCCACTGTCACTGGGGGTGGACTTCCTCCTCCCTGCTGTCAGTTTCCACAGCTGTGATGAGGAAGCTGGGGAGACCCAGGGAGCCACACCCTCCAAGCCACCCTCTCTCTCTTGCTCTGCTCTTCATCCAATGGTCTCCTGCTCTGCCAAGTCCTCCAAACCTCCCTGTCTCCACCGGCAAGGTCCCAGGAACCCATGGGCGTGTCTAGGTGCGGGTGACCTTGGCTCCCCTACTGGTGAAAGTCCTAGGAACCCGCGGGCGTGGTTTGGCGCAGTAGGCCTCGCCTCCCGTACCGGCAATGGTCCTGGGAGCCAGCTGCTTCGGCGTAGCCTCCTGGGGTGCCTGACACCTGCGAATGCAAATTAACCACCATCTTTGTTGGATTAATTTGCATAGTCACTCTGATTTGCTTGTGGGCATGGCTTGTGCCAAGCAGAGGGACAGCTAATTTGCACGTTTCTCTTTTATATAGGATTCCCTTTTAGTAAAAAGTGGATGGCTTTATACATCTTAAGTGTTATAAAGTGATTTTAAGTTGATTATTAATGAAAAACTCACGTACAAGAAGAAAAAAAGTTTGAATTGCTTTTGGTGTTTTTTCATTATTTGTACTTAAATTTGTATCTATTCATTTTTCAAATATTAACGTTAATTTCCATTAAGGGTCAGCTCAGAAAAAGCTGTTGGCACCTGATATGTTTACAGAATCTGATGATATGTTTGCTGCATATTTTGATGTAAGTAATTTTAAATCATAACACAGCTATTAAACCAAAAATATAGACAACAAATTTGTATTTGTGTGTGTGTGTGTGCAGAGAGAGGGAAAGATAAAGAGATGAATAGAGCAAATTAATAAGTGTTAGCATTTGGATAATTAGGTGAAGGGTACCTGGAAACTCTTTGTACTAGTTTTGTAACTTTTCTCTAATTCTGAAATTAAGTTACAATTTTAAAATAGGTACAGCAGAATAGTTTGAGAGCTTCATGAAAGTTAAATGCCTAATGACTTAAAGGTATAGTTAATTTTTTGAAACAACTTTTTTCTTAGATTTACAAACTGTGTATGTGGGGGGGCGGGTAGTTAGGTGAGACAAGGTGATATCAGTAATTTACAGGCCTTTATTAAAACAATTCACTTTGTGCTTTTATATTGTACATGATGGAGAACTTAAGGATTTGGTGCCTAATGAAGTTTATTGAAGAGTTGAAAATGTTATAAGGAATGGGTTAAGAAATTTTGGTCCTTTAGTCATTTTTATCAGTGCCTTTTCTTAAAAATGTTTTAAAACTAATACTCAAAAATAAGGAAACTTGAGAAATAGGAAGCTTTGGTAAGAAGAGGTAGGAAGGATAAGCATATAACAGAATTTTAAAATGGAATAGGATAAGCAGCCAGTGCCCAGATCCCAGCAGACGTTGGTAATTAGCTTAAGTAATGTATCACATTCATGTTTTGCAAAAGGATCCCCCCCCCCCCAAAAAAAAAAGGATGGGTTAAGAGAGGATAAAATTATTATTGAACCATCATTTGTCTGGTTGATGTTAAGGCACCTTCTGGATATCTTGGAGAATGATGTGTGATAAAGACTCTTCAGAAGTACCCTATACTCTTTAATTTCCCTTGGAGGTTTAATTAGTACAGCCAGTGACCTTCCATACACATATATGGGAAGACAAGCAGGGGTATTATATGGACAAGGCAGTAAAAGATGTGAAAACTGGTAGAAGGGAGAGTTGTACACTTACTGTTAACCGAGTGCCAATCTGTAATTTTTGTCCTCTATCAATAGCTAAGGAAAATCAGATCTGGTTTGAGTTTTTATTTTTATTTATAATGTCTTCATCATATTCCCAAAAGTTTTTAAAGATACTTCATTACTTTTTTCCCTAAATGATATTATGGTAATGCAGAAGACTGATATTCATATTTCATCCTTGTCACATTTACATGAGTGACAGTAAGAGTTTATTTAATTTAGCATGAAATGTCTTATTAAATTATAGCTGATTCACCCATTTTTGTTTAAAGAAAGTTCTTGAAATGTCAACCTGATTTAGTGGGTAAATAGCTAATATTGCCTCCTTAATTTTAGAGTGCTCGTCTTCGGGCTGCTGGCATTGGAAAAGACTTTAAAGAGAATCCTAACCTCAGGGATAACTGGACTGATGCAGAAGGCTATTATCGTAAGTGCACAATTCTTATGAGTTTTATGTATGTATGTATGTATGTATTTATTGTTGATAGGAGTCTCCCATTTTCTCCCTTTCTGCCCCTCTTCCCCCAACCCCTGCCCCACCTCAGGCCTTCCCCATACTGTTGTCTCTGTGTATGGGTTATGCATATATGCTCTTTTGTTAATCTCTTCCTATCCCTGCACTGAGATCTGTTATTCTGTTCCATGTATCCATACCTCTGGACCTATTTTGTTCATCAGTTTATTTTGTTCATTACATTCCACATGGTATTTATTCTTCTCTAACTGCCTTATTTCGTTAGCATAATAATCTCCAGGCCTATCCATGCTATCTCCTGGGGTAAGAGCTCCATCCTTTATATAGCTGCATAGTATTCCATTGTGTAAATGTTATTACAGCTCTTTTATCCACTCATCAATTGATAGGCACTTGGGCTGTTTCCAGATCTTCACAATTCTAAATAGCACTGCTATGAACATAGGGGTATATATATTCTTTCTGATTGATTTTTTGGGATTCTTAGGATATATTCTGAGAAGAGGGATCACTGGTTGAAATGGCAGTTCCATTTTATATTTTTTGAGGAACTTCCATATTGTTTTCCACAGTGGCTGCACTAGTCTGCATTCCCACCAGCAGTCCATTAGGTTCCCTTTTCTCCACATCCTCGACAGCACTTGTTGTTTGTTGATTTATTGATAGTAGCCATTGTGACAGGTATGAAGTGATAACCTTATTGTTTTAATTTTCATCTGATGATTAGAGGCATTGAGCATTTTTTAATGTCTCTTGGCCATCTGTATGTCCTCTTTGGAGTGTCTGTTCAGATCCTTTGCCCATTTTTAATTTATTTGTTTGTCTTTTGTTGATTTGTGTGAGTTCTTTGTATGTATATTTTGGAAATTAACCCCTTATCAGATATATCATTGGCAGATATGTTCTCCCATGCAGTGGGCTCTCTTGTTGTTTCGTTGATGGTTTCTTTTGCTGTGCAGAAGCTTTTTATTTTGATGTAGTCCCATTTGTTTATTTTCTCCTTAGTTTCCCTTGCCTTAGGAGATGTATCCATAAACATGTTGCTACGAGAAATGTTTGAGATTTTGCTGCCTATAATTCTTCTAAGATTTTTATTGGTTCACGGCTTACATTTAAATCTTTCATACATTTTGAGTTTATTTTTGTGTATGGTATAAGTTGGTGGTCTAGTTTCATTTTTTTTGCATGTATCTGTCCAATTTTCCCACATCGTTTATTGGAGACTATCTTTACTCAATTGTATGCTCTTGCTTCCTTTGTCAAAAATTAATTATGCAAAATGGCTTTGGTCAATTTCTGAGTTCTCTGTTCTGTTCCATTGATCTACGTATATGTCTGTTCTTGTGCCAAGACCAGGCTCTTTTGATTACAGCGGTTTTGTAGCATAACTTTATATCCGGTAATGTATTTCCCATGCCCTTGTTCTTCTTTCTCAAGATTGCTGTGGTTATTCAGGGTCTTTTGTGGTTCCATATAAGTTTTTGGAATGTTTGTTCTAGGTCTGTGAAATATGCCATTGGTATTTTAATAGGCATTGCATTGAATCTATAAATTGCTTTGGGTAGTATGGACATTTTAATGATGTTGATTCCACCAGTTCATGAACATAGCATATTCTTCCACTTGTTTATAATTTCCTCTTTCTCTTTTTTCAACATCCTGTCATATTCTGAGTACAGGTCGTCTTTTACCATCTTGCTTAAGTTTATTCCTAAGTATCTCTTTTGTTGCAGTGGAAAATGGGATTTTTTTTTGTTTTCTCTTTCTGAAAGTTCATTATTGGTGTATAAAAATACCATCGATTCTGGGTGTTAATTTTGTATTCTGCTACATTGTCAAATTCATTTATTATTTTATTTTATTTTTTAATATATTTTTATTGATTTCAGAGAGGGAGAGAGAGAAACATCACTAAGGAGAGAATCATTGCTCAGCTGCCTCCTACACTCCCCCTACTGGGGATTGAGCCCAGAAGCCAGGTATGTGCCCCTGACCAGAATCGAATCTGAGACCTTTCAGTCCGCAGGCCAATGCTCGATCCACTGAGCCAAACCAGCTAGGGCTGTGCAGTTTCTTTTTAAAGAGGTTGTACCATCGATTCTGGGTGTTAATTTTGTATTCTGCTACATTGTCAAATTCATTTATTATTTTATTTTATTTTTTAATATATTTTTATTGATTTCAGAGAGGGAGAGAGAGAAACATCACTAAGGAGAGAATCATTGCTCAGCTGCCTCCTACACTCCCCCTACTGGGGATTGAGCCCAGAAGCCAGGTATGTGCCCCTGACCAGAATCGAATCTGAGACCTTTCAGTCCGCAGGCCAATGCTCGATCCACTGAGCCAAGCCAGCTAGGGCGCCAGATTCATTTATTAAATTTAGGGGTTTTTTTTGTGGAGTCTTTCGGGTTTTCTATGTACAGTTTCATGTCATCTGCAATTAATGATAATTTTACTTCTTCCTTTCCAATTTGAAGCCTTTTATTTCTTCTTGTCTGATCTCTGTGGTTAGGACTTCCATTACTACATTGAATAAGAGTGGTAAAGCAGACATCTCTGTCTTGTTCCTGTTCCTAGGGGAAGTTGTTTTAGTTTTTGCACATTGTTGTTGGCTGTAGGTTTGTCATATATGGCCTTTATTATGTTGAGGTATTGCTCCCTCTAATCCTATTTTGCTGAGAGTTTTTATCAAAAATGGGTGTTGGATTTTGTCAAATGCCTTTTCTGCGTCTATTGATATGATACTATGATTTTTGTCTTTCAGTTTGTTTATGTGATGTATCACATTTATTGATTTGTGAATATTGTACCAGCCTTGCATCCCTGGAATACTGATAAATCCCACTCAGTCATGGTGTATGGTTTTTTTGGTTTTTTTTTTTTGCAATCCTTTATATTTTTGTGGGGTCAGTTGTTACTGGGTCCTGTTTCTTTCTCTCTTTTTTTTTTTTTTGATATATTTTATTGATTTTTTACAGAGAGGGAGAGGGATAGAGAGTCAGAAACACTGATGAGATAGAAACATCGATCAGCTGCCTCCTGCACACCTCCTACTGGGGATGTGCCCACAACCAAGGTACATGCCCTTGACCGGAATCGAACCTGGGACCTTTCAGTCCGCAGACCGATGCTCTATCCACTGAGCCAAACTGGGTCCTGTTTCTTGATGAGACTGGCTAAAGGTTAATCAATTTTGTTTATCTTTTCAAAGAACTAGCTCTTGTTTTTTGTAAATCTTTTGGCCCTAACCGGTTTGGCTCAGTGGATAGAGCATTGGCCTGCGGACTGAATGGTCCCAGGTTTGATTCTGGCCAAGGGCATGTACATTGTTTGCGGGAACATCCCCAGTGGTAGGTGCGCAGGAGGCAGCTGATCGATATTTCTCTCTCATCGATGTTTCTGAGTCTATCTCGCTCCCTTCCTCTCTGTAAAAAAATCAATAAAGTATATTTTAAAAAAAATCTTTTGTATTGTTTTTTAGTCTTTATATTCATTTATTTCTACTCTGATCTTTATTTCCTTCCTTCTACTTTGGGCTTTTCTTGTCTTTCTAATTCTTTAAGTTGTACAGTTAGATAATTTATTAGAAATGTTTCTTGTTTCTCGAGGTAGGCCTCTAGTGCTATGAGCTTCCCTCTAAGGACTCATTTCGCTAGTCCCATAGGTTTTAGGTTGCTGTGCTTATATTTTTATTTGTTTCCTGGGAGTTTTTGATATCTTTCATCTCATTGTTAACTCATTCATTGTTTAATAACATGCTACTTAGTCTCCATATGTTTGAATGTTTTTAGTATTTTTACTCTAGTTTATCTAATTTCATGCCATTGTGATTGAGAATATGCTTGATATGATTTCATTCTTCTTGAACTTGTAGAGACTTGCTTTGTATCCTAACATGTGTATCTTTGAGAATGACCCATGTGCACTTGAGCACACACACACATTCCTATATTGGGTGCATATATGTTTTTACCAGGGTTACCTGGTATATCCTCTTATTGGATCATGTAGTATTATGTAGTATCTTTATTTCTTGTTATGGTCTTTATTTGGAAGTTTGTTTTGTCAGATATGAGTATTGCTACCTCAGTTTTGTTTTCATTTTCATTTACATGGAATATTTTTATCATCCCTTCACTTTCAGTTTGTGTGTATCTTTTGTTCTGAGATGAGTCTCTTAAACAGCATTTATATGGGTCATGTTCTCTTATCCATTCAGCTATCCTGTCTTTTGACTGGAGCTTTTAGTTCTCTTATATTTATGGTTATTATTGATTAGAGGCCCGATGCCCAAAATTTGTGTAAGAGTAGGCCTTCCTTCCCCCGGCTGCTGGCACCAGCTTCCCTCTGGCATCTAGGACCAGGGCTTCCCTCTGGTCACCAGCAGGCACCCAGAACCCGGTATTCCCTCGCAGCCTTGGCATCGTCTGGAAGGATGTTTGGTCTAATTAGCATATTATGCTTTTATTATTATAGATAGGTACC